TAATTTATCTCCAAAATATAATGAATTTCTACAAATCCACAAGAAAAAGGTACGTGACCTTATAGAAAAAGATGGGCAAAATCTTCACAGCAAAATAATATCCAAATTGCCAATAAACATATGATTAAGTGCTTTTCTAGATAATGAAATGCTACCGTGACATTTCTCTCCACTCTGAATGGCAACAACTAACTGACCAATTGCTTCATTTTTTCTATACAAGTTATTTTCCAAAAGGGAAATACACAGAACTACTTCCTGAAGCTCTGTTTCCAGGATGTCAAGCAGCACTCTTGGATTTTAGGTCCCCACTGACTCAGCAAATGGATTTCATTGATTTCGGAGGAAGAGGCTGGAGATTGAGGAAAACTAATACATAATTTAAAATATAGTTTAAATTATATATACATCTTTTTATCTGTCTTTTAAAAATCATTATCCTCAGCTTTTATTTGTTTATTTTGTTTTAAGTAAAGAAAGAACACACCCATTCTCTCTCATTATATGATTTTTATGCACAGTGGAAGTAAGGACAAAATTTGTTATATCTACACTTTCATTTGACAAAACAAATCTGCATTGTCTGGGATTTCTTAATACTGTTGGCTGAAGAATAGCCACTCCAAATTTAAATTAAAGCTCCTGGAATGGAATTCAGGATTTCAGATTCTTAAATCCTAGCCCTTGATGGCTCAGAACTTCAGAAAAGGCAATTTTCTATACTTGTAATGAGAGATTAGTCATTTAGCGTGAGGCAACTTTTCAATGGTGACAATATGAACATTATTTATTTAAGTCAGAGCATTAGATACATTAATGTGCTGTACATGTCAAAAAATGACAGAAATTTTAAACATACTAAATTTGCTCTGATTTACTACTGACAGGAAGTTTCAAATACTCCCATAATGGGACTTTTCAATCTGAGAAGTACAATTTGTCAGATAGGAAAGTTGGATACTGAATGAAAATTTGTAATGCTAAGGAGAGAAAAGTAGGGGGATTGAAAGTCATTCATCATTGTAACACTTCCCTGTAGACTAAGCAGAGATAAAAGATTCTGTTCACACAAGAATGTCCAGTTTTTAAAGAGCTGTATGGCTCCTCTTCTACAACATTATGTTGGAATGCATGAAATGTTTGCAGATATGAGTGATAGAATTTAGGAGTTTATGAAAAACAGTTTCTGTGATCACCACAATTGAATTTTGCATTCTAAAGATGAATAATGCATGAAAATATTTTTTTAATGTCCATAGATATTTAACTCGCAACTGATCTATCTAAACACAGCAAGCTGAATCAAGACGATGAAATAATGTTGGTCCTAGTTAGAAAATTAATGAATTACACATTGTTTATGTAGTAAAGAGGGTTTGATTTGAATACAGGACATTATTACTTTTTATAGACTTTGAATTAAGCTACACCATTATGAGATGGAGAGACGGAGAATGAATATGGCTGGTATTTTGTTTATTTCTTGGGTTCTACTTTATTCCCTTATTTTATGCCATATGACAGGTGTGGCAAGGCTTCAACACAGAGGCGTTCTAGCCTGGGCTCTGGGTGAAGCAGACACTAGGTAAAACTAGAGGAAAGAGGAGAGAAGTTTAAAACAACACATCCCCAGACCCTAAGTGATTCTCTTAAATTTTCCCTTTGTTTCACATCTTCTGTTCTCCTGAAGCTTATTTGGGTTCTGTTTAAAAATGAAGATTGAAGTACTCATATCTATTAAGTGGGCAAATTGATACATCAGTGTGCAGAGCCCAGCATTGCATGCAATCCAGTGGAAGAGCTAGGAAAAAACATCAGAAGGTGTATTTCTATTTCTTTCATTCAAAGAAAGAGAGGAGCAGACATAGATACAGATGTAGATTCTGCCTTTGTCTTTAACATCTATAACTATCTCTGATATATATCTATTGAGGGTGATTAAGCCTCTGACATAATAGGTGGGCAAATCCACAGAACACATACATAATGTAAATATTTATAAAAATTGTTGATATGGTTATCGCTTTTTACTCTTGAGATAAAAAATTGAAATATTGTATTATTCATGATGTGTAGGAATACCTTTTCACTAAACTCAGCCCACACTTAAAAGTCAAACAGGACATGAGTGAAACAGGGAGGAAGTAGTCTTGGCTTAAATAAGGGTTTACTAAGAGAAGAAGGAAAGAGTATCAACAGGTGTAAGTTATAGTGCAGCTAAAGTGCTCAGCTCAATAGAGCATAGCCTCAGATAACCAAGTTATCATGGTGATAATCATAATGAATAACAATGACTGTTTAATACATATTTCCTTACAAAGTTATTAAAAATTGAAAAGTAGAAGTAAAAGGTTGAGATACAAAAACAAATAGTTCTTTCATTTTGAAACTGACTGGTAATTTTTTATAATGAATCAATAGATAAATTTAGATTCTCCCTCAAAGAATTAAGTATATCTGTTAGCTGAGGTAATGGATCTTTGTAAATACTATAGAAGAATGCAAAATTATTAATTATATAAATACAATCGTATTATAGTTCAAAAATAGTATTTTAAATGGACTGGATCAGGTTAAAGTATATATAAGGTGTATTTTTGAAATGGAACATGAAGGATAATCAATATTCTTCATGTAAAAAATAACTCAAAGATCATACTGAAGAGACAATTGATAGAGTAAACACAGTAATGAAGAGAATGTATAGAAAACATCAGAAAAAAGTGACTATTTCATTTTGCTTTGAGAAGTATTATAACGGTGAGTGAGGGTGCATATGAGGATAGTACTATAGATGGTGAAAAGATTGCAGAGGAAGGCAACCAAAAAAGTTATACTATGAAATATAGACAATGAGAAGACAATAACACTATGTAATTTGAGCAGTGATTAATCAGAGACATGCTTCAGGAAATTTAAGTCAATTCATATATTGAATAATTTGACTAAGAAAGAAACAATCAGAATTGTTATTTAGGTTAATCTATACTACCAATTCTTCCAAGAAGACCTCCATAATTTTTCCCTCATACCCATAGGACTTTTATATTTTTTAATTTTAATTTATTTTTTTCTTATTTATTTATTTATTTTTTAAAATTTTAGTATATTATGAGGGTACAAGTGTTAAGGTTACATATATTGCCCATGCCCCCCTCTCACAGGACTTTTTATGCCTTTCTTCAATTCTCTTATATTATGCATATTTTATTATATTATCATTCTAATAATTATTATACATGTCTACTTCCCCCAGTAGATTTATTTTTTTCAATTTTTTTAAATTTCAGCATATTACAGGGGTATAAATGTTACATATATTGTCTTTGCCCCACCCAAGTCAGAGCTTCAAGCATGTAACTTACCCAGTGTGTACCACATGCATTGGGTGTGTATATACCCATCCTCTTCTCTCCCCTCCCATCTGCCCAACACATGATGAATGTTATTACTATATGTGCATTTAAGTGTTAATCAGCTAATACCAATTTGATGGTGAGTATATGTGGTGCTTGTTTTTCCATTCTTGTGGTACTTCACTTAGTAGGATGGGCTCCAGCTCTATTCAGGACAATACAAGACGTGCTAGATCACCATTGTTTTCTGTGGTTCAGTTATTAATCCACTCATGTATTAATGGGCACTTGGGTTGTTTCCATATTTTTGCAATTGTGAACTGTGCTATATAAACATTCTAGTGCGGATGTTTTGTTTGTTTGTTTGTTTGTTTTGTTTTGTTTTTTTTAATAGAATGTCCTTTGTTCTTTTGGGTAGATGCCCAGTAATGGGATTTCTGGATCAAATGGTAGTTTTACTTGTAGGTCTTTGAGGTATCCCCGTATTACTTTCCACAGAGGTTGTACTAGTTTGCAGTCCCACCAGCAGTGTAGGAGTGTTCCTCTCTCTCCCCATCCACGCCAACATTTATTGTTTTGGGACTTTTTGATAAAGGTCATTCTCACTGGAGATAAGTGATATCTCATTGTGATTTTGATTTGCACTTCCCTGATGATTAGAGATGTTTAGCCTTTTTTCATACATTTTTTGGCCATTAGTCTACCTTCTTTTGAAAAGTTTCTGTTCATGTCCTTTGCCCACTTTTTGATAGGGTTTTGATTATTTTCTTGTTGATTTTCCTGAGTTCTATATAGATTCTAGTTATCAGCCCTTTATCGGATGTGTAGCATGCAAATATTTTCTCCCATTCTGTACATTGTCTGTTTGCTCTTGTGATAGTTTAGTTGGCTGTGCAAAAGCTTTTTAATTTGATCACATCCCATTTATTTATTTTTTGTTCTTGTTGCTGTGATTGCCTTTGTGTAAAGTAATTAAAATAGTATGGTATTGGCACAATAACAGAGACATAGACCAATGGAACAGAACTGAGAAACCAGATATAAAACCATCCTCATATAGCTATCTAATTTTTAACAAAGCAGACAAAAACATACACTGGGTAAAAGAATCTTTATTCAATAAATGGTGCTGGGAAAACTGGATAGCCACATGTAGAAGACTGAATCAGGATCCACACCTTTCACCTATCACAAAAATTAACTCACAGTGGATAACAGACTTAAACCTAAGACCTGAAACTGTAAGAATTCCAGAAGAAAAAAAGATTCTCTCACGAGACTACTGGAATTGGTGAACAAATTCATCAAAGTCTCAGGTTACAAAATCAATGTACACAAATCAGTAGCATTCCTATATGCCAACAGCAGTCAAACTGAGAACCAAATCAAAGACTCAATACTCTTCACAAAAGCAACAAAGAAAATAAATACCTAGGAATATATTTAAGGAAGGAGGTAAAAGACCTCTACAGGGAGAACTATGAAACACTGAGGAAGGAAATAGCAAAGAATGTAAACAGGTGGAAAACCATACCATGTTCATGGGTCAGCAGAATCAACATTGTTAAAATGTCCGTACTACCCAACATGACCTACAGATTCAGTGCAATCCCTATTAAAACACCAACATCATTTTTTCACAGATCTAGAAAAAAATAGTTCTATGCTTTGTATGGAACTAGAGAAAAAGCAATCTTAAGCAAAAAGTACATTTCTTATTGTTCTTGCAAAAGACAAGATAATCTTTTTCATTGTTTAAATTTCTATACCTTACACAAAGTTTGGCACACAATTAGGGAAATAGGAATAATTGATAGATAAGATTTATACATACATCAAAAAGAATGAATCAATGGTCTTCACTGTAACTGTTCAAAATCATCCCTTTGATTTTTCAGGCATTATTTTTCTCTCTGTGTGTGGAGCACATTCCTGAATTACTTTTCTTTCTGATTTCTTCTTTAACATTAGAATGGCTGATCACTCCACTCTTACTGTGGCTGATTTCAGCTTAATGTTTAAATGACTTTTTCTTCAAATTCAGAATAGCTGTAATTATTTGTATATTCATTGTAGGGACTGCTAGTTTATATTAAGAGAGCATTTGTAACATACATGATCACCTCCTCATAAAATCACATGAGGATGTGTTATTTTATTTTATATCTTAAACAAAATGTCTTTCACTTGCTCGAGCATAGTGAAATTGACAGCTAGGCAAGTGGTCTAAACAGGACACTCAGTTTGGCACCTCAAATTACTAATCGTCACTTACATGACAAATTATAATCTGGGATAAAACAAACTTTTATATACTTGATTTAAAATATGATGTGTAGAACGCAGTACACGATCTTATAAACTTTTTGGGTTATAAAATGCTCAGATTTGCTTGATAGTTTATAAGTAATATTTAGATTCCTTATTTATTCAATCAATATTTAAGGAATGCTTATTAGAGACTTCTAGAGGTAAAAAATATATACAAGATGTGGAAGATTTTAGCCTCTAAAAGCTTATATAATAGCAAGAGAGATGAACAAATAAGTAATTCATGATAAAGCATAGTGAGAGTTGTGACAAAGTTACTAGAGATTGCTCTAGGAGTTCACATGAGTGAGTTTAGGCTGGGTTTGAAAGGAAATTTGCAATATTTTGTAATGTAAAAATGTAGATTAGAAACGAAGCTGTTTCACACTTCATCACCTTATTCCAAAAATTTCTGCATTAATCATGTAGAATTTAGAAGCAAGATTAGTGATACATGAGGAAGAGCTTAGCAACTCTGGTGGTCTTATCATTAGGGCCTAACGAAAGAAGAATGGGATATGATGGGAACTGGCTTCATCCCGCTACTCCGCTCCTTCTCCAAAGCCCATGGTTCATTCAGGCCTCACAGGAAGAATCTCAGGCATGCAGCATCCACTGGTTAACTGGTCACAGGTATCGGGACTCATAATTTTGACAGTCTTATGGTTAGCATGCATTTTTCTTCCTCTATGGGATTACTGTCTTCCAGTAATTAAATACTGTAAAGAGTATTAGAAACATCTTGAATAATATTGTATGATATTGTATGTCCCACTAAATGTTTTGGATTCATTGATGAATTTTGAGAAAATGTGATACTTACCAGTCATCACAATGTTGGGGTTACTCAGTATGAGTGTCATGATGTCCTCAGTGTGTAATTAGCTATATAAAAAAGAGTATAAAGACTTTTGAATAGCAAAAAACAAAAAAAATACAACAGGGCAATACATTTAACATATTTAAACTGGAACCTCTGATCATATATTCATTAATTCTTCACATTATGCAACATATATCCTTAACACTATCTAGATCCTACTTATGAAAAATAACTGTGTAAGAAAGATACTCTGCTTTATTTCCTTTATGAAGAAAACAAATTATTTGAATTTCAGTGGAACACTTTAAAAAAATTATTCTGTTAAATAAATCTTAGGGATATAATTTAAATTAATTGCTCTCCTGTCATTCATAAACTACTTTTGCTGAATTCATATAGTTTATGATGTCAGCAGAAATTAAATTATGGCCTTATGTTCAGTTGGAGACCATTTTTTAAAAATAATGTGACATCACAAAGTAAAATTCTTCTTTTTCAAATATAGGATAATTACAGATAATTATGTAAATGGAACAAGCTGCTGACATTCTCATTTTAGGAAAAAAAAATAGTATGTGAGAGCTCAGATGGTTTAATAAAATAATGAGCTTGAAAGGGGCAAGTTCCACAACCTTGTTATAAAATACTCAGTAAAATCATAAACAATCAAATCAAAAGCATTTACAAATATATATTTTGACCAAAGTTATAAACATGAAAAAATCATAAAACAACCTCCAAATATTATTACATTGTCTTTGAAGATATGGAAGAAGCATTCTTCTTTTTTTTCTAGACAAAGTATTTCAAGCTTAATTGATGTGTCTACAATTATGCAAATTTAACCTAAGCACCTGACTTCAGTTTAAAATTCAGTATTCACACATTTCCTTCAGCCATCCTGAAGGAAAAATCAGCCAGTCACTATTAGGCATGAATGAGTCTGCAATTTGCTCTTGGAAATAGTTCAACATTTATCTTCATATTTCCTTTAGTCTGTCTAAATGTGATCGATGCTTAAGTGTCACTTGCATGGAAGATGCTATGTTGGCACTGTACAAAATATGAATATGTATGTATTTTATCAATAAGAACATTATAGATCAAAGCTTTAGAGACATAATGTCCAAAAAATGCATTTCTGTTTGGAAAACATAACATATATTTTGATGACAAATCAATGTCTATTATATTATGCCCTGTTGGGTATTTACCTGGGCCAAAACTGCTTCACTTAGATGTAGATATTACCCACAGACCAAATATGTGCCCTTATTCTGAGTAACTCTGAAAGTGCACTATATTTAATGAATTTTAAGGAAATCAGATAGGATAAATATTTGTAAATCTGGACTATACTATATTTCTATTCATATAGTTATTATGTTAGAATTTTTAGTATTTTAAATTAAGCATAAATTTATTCACTGTTATCTAATCAGTATAGAAATGTTAGAAAATGCTTGAAATTTGAAATCAAATTTTAATCAGTATAGTTTTTTCTAGGGTTGTGGTTTTCTGTTGAATTTTTATACTCACAAAATATATTATTACTTTTATGTTAATATTTAGATGCACAGAGATGTTATAAATTTGAAATTTTTCTTCAAGAAGATATCTTAGTGTAGGTGGTAACTTCTTTTTGCTTTTGTTTGTCAAAAGGTGTTTTTAGCATCATATTGTTTTTTGTCTATTACTTGTAATAGTAAAAATCTAGAAACAATAAAATCTTCCAGAAACAGAGATATCTATAGTTTAGAACACAATACTGCCTTGGAAATGGGTAAAATATAACGTCACGCAGCTGGAGGAATCTTCCTAATATTGAGTGAAAAGAAAAGTTTTGTAAGTGTGATTTTCATTATTTTGAGTTTAAAATGACTAATAGTAAATGATACATGCTCCAGTAATAAATATATTTTTATGAACATGTGTGTATATGTGTTAATGAAACACACATATGTATATAAAGTAGGGACATGATAAAAAAAATCTTTAGGGTATTCTTTCAGTGAAGGAAGGCGGGGAGATAATATGGGAGTGAAATATAGGTAACTTAAGTTGTTGTCATTGTTCTAATTTTCATGATGCATGATAGGCTAATGGCTGTTTATATCATTATTACAGTAGAATGAAAGATGACCATGTTTGGATTAATTATGGTATGAAGATAGAAGCATTATAAATATTTTAATTATGTAGATATGAATTAAATAAAAACTTCCAAAAATTCCAACAACACAGAAGAACTTGAGGTTTCTTGAAATAAAAATATATTAATTAAGACAATACACTGCTTGAGTCAGGATAAATAATTGTCAGAGAGCCTGGATGTAAACAATATTCTAAGAAAGATTTATTCTTTGAGTATTGAAAAGAGTTTAAAGAATACTGTATCCACAATATTATTTTAAAAACATCAGCTTTGGAATTCGTAAGAGATTGACAAAACAATTTACCCAAGGAGGAAAAGGTATCTTCATGAATTGCTATTCTTATGAATATGAATGTGGAAAACATTTTGATATAACTAATAAGTGCATATTATTTGACCCACACTTTCTTTGATTCTTAAGCATCTATAGGCTGATGTAGGAGTGTTAAATTGATGTCCATTCCCTTGGGATTGTCGGAGGACACTCCAAGACGTGCCCAGGCACAAATACGCACACACAGACATATTTCCAGAACATTGCTTTGCTATGCACTCAGTCCTGACCGCCACTGGCCGGATAAAGTACCAGCATCGTTCTCTCTGTGCCCCCTTTTTGGCCCTTGCCTGTTATTCCTGCCATTGCCCGTTTGGAAACAGAAGGCGTTCTCTTCCAAGGCGCCTGCTGGGCGCAGTCTCACCGCGGCCCGCAGCCAGCGCCAGACAGGGACAGGCTGGCTTCAGAGAGTCCCTCCAGCGTTAACTCAGGGAACCAAAAATTGCCCTTACATCTATCTTGCCTTTAGGAAACAAAATGAAGCTAAAATAATAATGGTTGGCAAAGCTATTTTTTGTTTGTTTGTGTTTTATATAAGTGAGAAATTTTTTTAAAATCCCAAATATTACAAGATTCACTGGATGAAATATGCAGATACAAATTTTACCTGATAACTTTCAGATCAGTGTGCATTAATATCGTTAAATGTTCCTCCAATACATCATTCACGTATTGAGTCTACCCCAGGCCATGCTGCTGTGTCAAGCAGCCACCAAGTTTCAGTTGCTTTTAATAGCAGAGGTCTCTCTCTCTCTCTCTCTCTCTCCCTCTCTCTCTCTCTCTCTCTCTCTCTCTCGTCTCTCATCTCTCTCTCTCGCCTCTCTCTCTCCTCTCTCTCTCTTCTCTCTCTCCCTCTCTCCCTCTCTCTCTCCCTCTCTCCTCTCTCTCTCTCCTCTTCTCTCCTCTCTCCTCTCTCTCATCTCTCTCCTTCTCTCTCTCTCTCTCTCCTCTCTCTCCTCTCCCTCTCTCCTCTCTCTTCTCTCTCTCCTCTCCCTCTCTTCCTCTCTCTCTCTCTCTCCTTCTCTCTATTCTCTCTCCTCTCTCATCTCTCTCTCTCTCTCTCTCCCTCTCTCTCTACCTGTTGATGACTTGCTGCAGGCGCAGCTACATACCACACGCCTTCCTTAGTCCACATCCAGAACGAAGACACCGTATTTGGGACATGCCATTCCTACACGAGAAGGACAAAAACAAGAGAATATATGAAACTTTTCAATGATGCTTAAAGCTTCTAATCGGCAATGGCCTACTTTACCAGCAGTCCAGGCAAAATTCACAGCCTAATCTAATACGAATGATATAGAAAAGTACAGAAAACCAAATACCAGCAGGTAAAATTACATAATCCTTTCTGGGGACAGCAGTGAATAACTTGGAAAATTCATACATTCCTCCACACTTTTTTATTTTATCTTTAAGTTCAATAATTTTTACTTACTGTTAACTAACAATGCAATTATGTGTTAGTTGCAGGACAAATTAATGGTTAGCATTATATATTTTATCTTGTATTAAATGTATTAGAAAATATTCAACATGGTATCCTGTTTTTTATTGAGATATGTGTTATTCCCCAAAGATGAAAAAAGAAAACAGGTTGTTAATGTCATCTACACATTTACTAAAGTGTTTTAAGACACTTCTCAGCGGTTAGTTCCCTGAGATAGTTTTATACCAGGCTCCTCTTTTCTTGTCTAAATATGTGGTGTCTTGATTTGATTTCTCCAGAAACACTCTGAGACAAAAATGCTAGTGTAAGCTGTTTATGTTTGTAGGCAAAAATCAGCAGAAGAGTGTAAAAGTGTTCTAAGGAAGGGAAACATCCAATAGATGGAATATAAACCAAGATGCCACCAGAGTGGCTGACCGGAGTTCAATACTGATGAAATCTCACCAGTCAAGGACCCCGGAACAGCCTGCCATCTGCGAAAGTCGCATTTAAGGCGTCTGTACAGGAAAGGAGGGAACTTGACAGAAACCGAGGAGAACCGCTGAGGAGGAGATTTGGGTTTCACCGGAGGATTCTGAATAGCATTGAAGGAGACAGCGATCAGTCAGTTCAACAGCAGTTTGGCTGCTGTTTTTGAGGCAGGGTTAGGAGAAGCAGGAATTAAGTAGTGATCGCAGATTAGAGCAAAGCAGGTGCTCGCTTGTCATTGGTAGAAGCAAGAAGTCACTAGAAGAGGCAATGCTTTTCTTTTCTTTTTCTCAGAGAGTTTTTATTTCCTCTTTCAGTCTATTGGAGAAATTCTGAGAAACGGTAAAACACAGATCTCAAAATTATCTCCCGTAAGGGGCAAGTGCACTGGAGTTGTAGGCCTCTGAACCATCAGATGAAGGGGGGATGACACCTGCCTGACCCCCGGCTAACCGTCCCTGTCTGCACATCTCAAAAGCCCTCAGGCAGGCGTGGAAATGGACACTGTCAGTCTGAAGTCTGCAAGAGCACACTGAGCCCCAGGGCGATGCTGACCGCTCTGAGGGCGCCACACGGACAAGTGTGCATTGGGAGTATAAATTGGTAGGATGCTTTGAAAATTTGTTTTCCAGGTTCAAAGCTGAATACAAGTGTACTCAATGGCCCATTAATGCTTGTCCCAGTCATAGGGGTAAAGAAATGTGTATGTATGTGCAAAAAAATATACAAGAATGTGCATAACAGCATAATTTTCAACAGTAAAATTTGCAAACAACCAGAAAATTGATTTTTAAAATATTGTGATATAGTCATACATCAGAATACTGTACTGCAATGCAAATACACTACTGCAATGTCCAACACCATGTATGAATCTTACAAGGACAGTATTGGGTGAAAATAATAAGACAGAAAATAACATACACTGAATGATTTCATTCTTACAAAGTTCGAGAACAGGCAGAAATTATCAACACAGAGTGAAATCAGACTGGGGAAAGAGTGGGTAGGGAACAGGAGTAGATAAGAGGCAGAGCACATATGGGGTGTTTTCCATCTTCTATTTCCAGATCTGGTTGTGTCCATTTTGTGATAACTAATTGAGTTATGCACTTATATTTTGTGCATTTTTCTGTATGAACGTTATGCTAAAGATTTCACCAATAAATACATTGCACTGATTTGTTAACAGTCTTTGTCTAGCTCTCATTTATTATTATATAAATCTGTAAAAACTATAGAAATAATTTATTTTTCATCTACAACCTTTCCAGTAATACACACCAATCAAGAGAAAATATATCTGCCCTGTGAAACAAACCATTCCCTCCATAAAAAACAGTATCAAGTTCTCAAGTTGCATTTGAGGCAGAGGTCAATTAATTTCACATTCATAATTTTCTCCAACCTAGCTTTCATCAGTTTTAAGGTTCATTTTTGAATTACATATATTTATCACATATTTCAAAAGTTCTGCTGTTTCTGAACTTGGGAGGGGGGTAGATCCATTCAAACCTCAACGTTGCACACGAGTGAGTGATTCTTACAAGTTGATCTGCAGCCCACTTTGGGGGCTTTGGTATCTTGCTGATAGGTTTGGAGTGGACACAGCTCCTTTCTATGGTATTGGCTTATTGTAAGCAGAAACAGCTAGTTGCTTTCCAATGTTCATTCTCCCCATCTTCATTTGTGCAAGAACACCAGCATTCCACTGAACACATTGCTACTTAAGAGAAAGATATAGCTTGCTGCCCAGAATTAAATCACCTCGTGATGAAAATAGGTATGAGGTTAAATCCCAGCCGATACATTATAAGTAATATTTATTACTTTATGTGTGTGACACTGTCAGGAATGCACCTCTTAGGAGGGTAAGAAGGAGCCCTCTTCTCTCTCTTCTTCATACTGCCTGGAGTGTGTGTGGAACAGCAGGGGCTTCACCAGACGTGCTTAAGGAAGCCACACGCTGGAGGTGAAGGAGCCTGGGTTTCTGAAGATTTCACAGAGTCCCGTGTCAAATGTGGACTAGTATTGTCTTTCATAAGAAAATAAACCCTTTCAAGTTTAAGTCACTCTAGTTAAATATCTATTAGTGGTAACTGAGTGCATTCCATGATTTATATTCTTATAAATGACTTATGATTAATAGACCTCTTTTTTAGCAGCAATTCATAGAATTATTTAAGTTTATGATAAAAATTCAGTTGATTTTGGCCCAAACAAAGCTATAATAGGGAATAAACTATATAAATTGTAAGATAAAATACATTATCTGACAAAATTTTCTCCTTACTAACTGTTCATTTAATTCTCAAACTTTCCTCCTGGTTTCAATCAAATATTACCTAATCCATCATCTTTTTTCCCCACATGGAATATGCTAAATTCCTATATTTTTGTATGAATATCAATAGCAACATTTTTCATTTGTGTTAATTATGTGATAAACATTTAACTCCTATTCTTAAATTGTAAGAACCTTAAAGATGAAGATAGTTTATCTTTTTTAAAATTTCTGAATATTGTGGGGGTATAAATGCTTTGATCACATAAGTTGCTTTTGCACTGCCCGAGTCAAAGCTACAGGCCTGACCATACTCCAGACAGCGTGCATTGCACCCATTAAGCATGAATTTACCCATCCCCTCCTCACTCCCATATGCCCTATCCCCAAAGAATGTTACTTCCATTTGTGTACATACGTATTGATCACTTAGCACCAATTTAATGGTGAATACATATGGAGTTTGTTTTTCCATTCTTGTGACACTTCACTTAGAAGAATGGGCTCCCGCTCTATCCAGGATAATACAAGAGATGTTATTTCCCTATTTTTTATGGCTGAGTAGTACTTCATGGTATACATATACCACATTTTATTAATCTACTCATGTATTGATGGGAACTTGAGTTGTTTCAATATCTTTGCAATTGTGAATTGTGCTGCTATAAACATTCAAGTGCAAATGTCTTTTTTTCCCTTTGGGTAGATACCCAGTAGTGGGATTGCTGAATCAAATGGTAGTTCTATTTATAGCTCTTTGAGGTATCTCCATATTGCTTTCCACAGAGGTTGCAATAGTTTGCAGCCCCACCAGCAATGTATGAGTGTTCCTATCTCTCCGCATCCACGCCAACATTTATAGTTTTGGGACTTTTTGATAAAAGCCATTCTCACTGGAGATGAGTGATATCTCATTCTGATTTTGATTTGCATTTCCCTTACGCATAGAGATGTGCATTTTTTCATATATTTGTTGGTCATTACTCTGTCTTCTTTGGAAAGTTTCTGTTCAATAAAGGGTGCTGGGAAAATTGGATAGCCACATGTAGAAGACTGAAACAGGATCTACACTTCTCATCTCTCACAAAAATCAACTCAGGATGATACCGGCCTTAAACCTAAGGCATGAAACCATAGGAATTCTAGGAGAGAATGTTGGAAAACTTATAGGCATTGGGCCTAAGCAAAGAATTTATGAAGAAGATCACAAAAGCAATCCTATCAACAACAAAAATAAATGATGAGGTTTAATTTGACCTGGTCAAATTAGAAAGCTTCTACACAGCCAAGGAAACTATCATTAGAGCAAATAGACAACTTATAGAACGGGAGAAAATATTTGCATGCCACCCATCCAACTAAACTAGAATCTATAAAGTACTCAGGCAAATCAACAAGAAAAAAAATCAAGCAGCCCCATTAAAAAGTGGGGAAAGGACATGAACAGAAACATTTTATCATTTTTAAGTATTCATATAATCCTGTGCATAAAGCTTTCCATTAAAAAATTCAAAAAATGGGAGTATGCATATTTAAATTTTATTGCTTAGACATGATAAATCATTTTAAAACTCAATAAATCAGTATAGTCCAGCTTTTTCTATGTTGAATTACTCTTAAGGGAATTTTTAAATTGAGACTTAAGGCAGGCACAATGATAAAACATACATCCTCATAAACACACATGAATTTGTTAAGGACAATTGAACCTGTATTTGTCTAAAGAATTAATTAATTCTATTTATGCATGACAGCATCAAAAATATCTGCAATGCATGTGATGTTGGGTTATTCAATAAGAGATTATTCTGGTTATTCAATAAGGGAATGTCTAAGATGTTTTAACCAGTACAGTAATGAAAGCTTTTGTGTTCTTGACTGAGTTAACTTCTGTCCTTCATTGCTTTTGTTCTATACTATTTTCCAGTTTTGGAACCCTTAGTTATGTGCTTTATACCTTTACTTTTTG